ATATTTTTAAGTATATCTAATTGAAGTTTCTTGAATGCAGCCTTATTTGATTACAGCTAAATGCAGCCTTCCAAAATGAAAATGTTCCCCACCCCTGTCCAAGGCCTTCACCACTCACTGACTCACCCAGAGCAACTTCCAGGCTTGCAAGCTCCATTCATGTGAAGTACCCTACAGAGGTGTATCATTTTTTACCTTTCAGACCATATTTTTACTGTATCTATGTTTAGATATATTTAGATACACAGATGGTTACCACTGTGTTACAATTGCCTACAGTATTCAATAGAGTTTGTAGCCCAGGAGCAATAGGCTATACCATTTAGCCTAGGTGTGTACTTGTAGTGGGCTCTCCCAACTAGGTTTGTGTAAGTACATTCTGTGATGTTCACACAACCATGAAATCACCTCCTAACGTTTCCCTGTTATTAACAGAAGCATGATTGTAGTCCAACAAATGACAAACCTTTAATAGGTACTACTTACAATTTGTATGAGTAAAACAAAGGGTTGGAAAGATATTTTCTGTGGAGATTTTACTGGGACTGTAGCCACTACGAGGATGAGTAATGCATTAAGGTTACACAAAAGGAGAGTTATCTGGTCCCCGGATGTTTCCTGTGTCATCATGTTAACCATTTGTGAACGCCATCCTCACTGAGCACATTCTCTGACCTAAATTACTAATAAGCCCCTGAACTTCCATCAGACACAAACGGAAAACAACTGAAGACTGTGGTAGAGATTTGCCCATAACTTCAAAGGCTTAGAAATGACAAAATGTTAGAAACATTCGTAATTAAAAGTTGAGGAGAAAAACTGGGGGAAAAAATTGACTGCAGGGGCCAAGCAGGTAACAGCATTGAGTGAAACAGGTCACACATAAGAGAACAGGGAGCAGTGGAGACAGATCGGAGAATACACGACTCCTCCGAATGAGGGGCCACCACTCAGCCATCGCTGGGCAGGAATCAGGGTCTAATGTTGCCACATATTCTGATTTTTCCAAGGAAAGTTGGAAATCGAGATTTTCATGAAAAATCTATTTTTGAAATGTTGGCAAATAATTCAAATTCTTTTAAAAAAGACTTAAGATTTGAAAACCCAGGACATCATACAGAAAGTTGTTTTAAATTCCCTGATGGATACAAGTGCAACCGTGATACTAATACAAGTGCAAATATATCAGCAGAAGTATATGTTGTATGATTGATCTCATGGAGATAGAGAGTAGAATGATGGTTACCAGAGTCTGGGAATGGTGGCAGGGAAGGGATAGAAAGTGGGGATGGCTAATGGGTACAAAAATATACTTAGATAGAATGAAAAATATTTGATGGCACAATAGAGTGACTAGAGTCAATAATAAGTTATTGTATAAAGTAACTAGAAGAGTGGAACTGGAATGTTCCCAACACAAAGAAATGATTAAATGCTTGAGATAATGGATACCCCAATTACCTTGATTTGATTACACATTGTATGGCTGTATCAAAACATCACACACACCCTGTAAATATATACAGCTATTACCTACTCATAATAATTT